TATATATATATATATATATATATATATATATATATATATATATATATATATATATATATATATATATGTGTGTGTGTGTATATATTTATGTATGTATCTATCTATCTATCTATTTATATATATATATATATATATATATATATATATATATATATATATGTGTGTATATATATATATATATATATATATATATATATATATATATATATGTATATATATATATATATATATATATATATATATATATATATATATATATATATATATATATATATATGTGTGTGTGTGTGTGTGTGTGTGTGTGTATATATTTATGTATGTATGTATCTATCTATCTATCTATATATATATATATATATATATATATATATATATATATATATATATATATGTGTGTGTGTGTGTGTGTGTGTGTGTGTGTGTGTGTGTGTATACATATATGCATATATATATATATATATATATATATATATATATATATATATATATATATATATATATATATATATATATATATATATACACACATATATATATGTGTGTATATATATACACACACACATGTATGTATATATACATATATATACATATATGCATATATATATATGTATATATATGTGTGTCTGTTTATGTGTGTATGTATATGTATATCTATCTGTTTATCTCTCTCTCTCTCTCTCTCTCTTTCTCTCTCCATATATATAAATATATATATATATATATATATATATATATATATATATATATATATATATATATATATATATTCGTATATCACATACACATATATGCATGTGTATGTATATTTCGCCTCAGTGTCTGCGGTCATCGAGCTTGACTGTCGCACCAGATCCGAGCGATGACCCGCGAATACTGTAGTGATTACCAGCCTTGTTCGCAGCCACCGACATGAATGTGTTCCGATCCTCCCGAGATGAGATCCTCCGTGCATGTTGTTTATAGAAATTTGATAAAGTTTGATGATATTGAAAATATCCTCTAAATGTTGTGCTGGTATACACGCATGAAACATGCAATCTAATGCAATTGGTTTCGGTAATGCATTTAATGATGTATGATTTTTTTTTTTGGTTTCTTTTACTGGCATAAAAAAAAAGCTCTTAAAAGCTGATGAAATTGCAGAATCGCCGTGTGTCAAGGGTACAGCCAGTTGACAAAGGCATTGCAGTAAGCAAATAATCAAGTCTGTGTATTGAATCAACAAACGGTTTTGTAATGCAGGGGGAGGGGGGTAAGCCAGGGTAATCCTGTAGAACATGCAACACTTGTGTATGGGCCGTGTTTAATTTAATGCCTAAGCAAATAATGGGAGGGAGAGGAAAACAACCATTTTAGGACGTGTCTACGTATACGTGTGTGTGTGAATACATACATACACACATACATACATACATACACATACATGTACAGCTACACAGAAAACTATAGTTAGAAAATTATGCTAACCATTCTGACACGAACAATGAAATATATTTTTGAAATATAGTTGTTAACACTAGCAAGCTGTTGTACCCCTGACTTTCCAACTACTTTTGATAAATCACGTATTATTAAGGCAATTTATGATATGGTATAATACATTGTCATTAATCAATTAGCATTCTTTCTGGGTCAATCTTCATAATACGAGAGCAGACGTGTGCTACTCACACGGCTTATTATATTACCTAATGACTAATGATATATTGCATTAGGATCAAAACAAGGAAAATAGGACATTGTAATGGATTCAAGTTTAATATTCTGTGTTTCTACTCCCTGCTGCCAAAACACAGTTCAAGCGTCGAAACATAGACGCCACTAAAACAGCTGTCAACGCATGCCTTCATCACAGCATAGATGTTCCTATGCTTGCAAGGCATTATTCACGACTGCGACGCGATTACGAATGTGTTCTTGATGCATGTATTATGACATGGAAGCCCACAGCTTTTCAATTGGGTTGAGATTCGGAGATCTGGGAGGATATGACAGAAGCGCGATGTCGGGATGTTCACGAAACCAGTCTTTGACAACACGGCTGGAATAGATGGGGCTGTTGTCCTGAATAAGATAGAAGGGATCCGTTTCAGGAAACTCCATATCCCAGACTTTTGGGAGTAAAACCTCCTCAAGGATTTCTACACATAGGGCCAACATCCGTTACCTCCCCGACACCACTCGCATCCATCCGCCCAAACAACCCTGCGGTGATTCGGCCACTCCTCCTGCTGCATTAAATATAAAAATAAAGATATATGAAAACGCTATAGCGTTCATTTCTATCAAGACAAACATTTTCATCAAATATAGATATATGAAATCGTTTTAGCGTTCAATTCTATCAAAACAAACATTTTCATCAAATATAGATATATCTAAACGTTTTAGCGTTCAATTCTATCAAAACAAACATTTTCATCAAATATAGATATATCTAAACGTTTTAGCGTTCAATTCTATCAAAACAAACATTTTCATCAAATATAGATATATCTAAACGTTTTAGCGTTCAATTCTATCAAAATAAACATTTTCTTCTAAATATAGATATATGAAAACGTTTTAGCGTTCAATTCTATCAAAACAAACATTTTCTTCTAAATATAGATATATGAAAACGTTTTAGCGTTCAATTCTATCAAAACAAACATTTTCTTCTAAATATAGATATATGAAAACGTTTTAGCGTTCATTTCTATCAAAACAAGCATTTTCTTCTAAATATAGATATATGAAAACGTTTTAGCGTTCATTTCTATCAAAACAAGCATTTTCTTCTAAATATAGATATATGAAAACGTTTTAGCGTTCATTTCTATCAAAACAAGCATTTTCTTCTAAATATAGATATATGAAAACGTTTTAGCGTTCATTTCTATCAAAACAAGCATTTTCTTCTAAATATAGATATATGAAAACGTTTTAGCGTTCATTTCTATCAAAACAAGCATTTTCTTCTAAATATCGAACGAAGGGAAATAGGAGAAGAGGAGTGGTGTCGATACCTACCTGGTGTTTTGTTGACGCTGTACATATCTCGCGGCGTCGAAAAAAAGTTCTCTCGTCGCAGATTATTTTTGTATCCTAGAAGGCCTGTGGTTTGTCTGCATATTACAAGGGATGTTCCATCGTTTTCGGGAATAAGATCATCGTGTCACAGCGAATCCTCCATAGGAAAACAACTATTCGATACATTATAAATCAGAACGAGACCAAGTCGACCCCCAGAATACCAACCCTTCCGTAACATAAGGTTCTATTTGTTATTGAATGTTTCGACACCCCCTAACGCTAACGATAGTTTTCTGTGTAGCTGTGTATATATATATGGCTCACACTCACACACACACACACACACACACACACACACACACACACACACACACACACACACACACACACACACACACACACACACACACACACACACATATACACACACACACATACACACACACACATACACACACACATACACACACACACACATACACACACACACACACACACACACACACACACACACACACACACACACACACACACACACACACACACACACACACACACACACACACACACACATACGCACACGCACACACATGCACACACACGCACGCACATGCACACACACGCACACACACACACACACACACACACACACACACACACACACACACACACACACACACACACACACACACACACACACACACACACACACACACACACGGACGTGCGCATATATGTATGTATACATAATTGTATATTGTATGTGTGTATTTATTTGTGTAAGCAAGGCTGTACAGCTCAGATAATAGCAAGTCCTTCACTTCATTTAGCCGTCATGATTGTTTGAATAATTAATGCAGTCTTTGATCGTGCAACTCGACCGAGTGTCGGCTGTTTGCACGAGACCTGTTGCACGGGCGAGCGGCTGCTCCTGTGTCGGCTATTGCTGGACGGGACAGGTCCTCCGCCGCTGTGAGCGCTGCATCCTGTTTGCAACTGATTAATGAAATATTTGCGTAGACTTCTGGCCCGGCTGACACGGCTTTGACATGTTCCCTTTAACCGCCGTCGCTGGCCACGTGATATCGGCGCGTATTGCGTGCGCCCGCTCAATAGTTTGGGCCTACGCCGCACCTCCCCCTCCGACCCCTCCCGCCCCCATCGTCCCTTTCCTTCCCCCCTCCTCCTTCTGCCTTCCTTCCCTTACACCCTTTGCCCTTCCTCATTCCTTTCGCCTTCCTTCCTCCTTCTACCTTCCTTCCCTTCCTCCTCCTTCCCTCATCCTTCCTTTCTCTTCCGCCTTTGCGTCGCCCTTCATCCATCCTTTCCTTCTTTGCGTTCCTCTACTCTTTCCCTCCCTCTCCTTTGGTGATAACCTGGCCTTTCCCTCCCCCCTTTACCTTTTCTCTCTCGCTCTCTTTCTTCTCTCTCCCCGGGGTCAAAGGTCAAAGTGTGTCTTGCCCCACTTTGATGACATATTTGCATTGGGTGTTTCGCGCGCGTGCCGCTGAGATGACTGCTTGAGGGAGTGGATTTGGGTTGAGGTGAGTCCCGCCTTCGCTCTCGCTGAGATGCAAGAGGGAGGACAGGTGGGAGGGAAGGGGTAGAAACCCAATCACGTTTGATGCGCATCAGTCACCTGTCGGGTTTTAGACGGTTTGCAGTCGAAGGCAGACGAGAAGAAAGGGGGAGGCGTGTCAGGGTGTTCGTGGCTTTGTTTATATTTGGGGTTATTACTGTTTTGGTGTGTTATTGTCATCATTTTTCATCATTATCATCCTGAGTATCACCATTATTAGTGTTGGTGATGATGGTATCAATAACATTGATATTAACTTTATAGAATATTAGTAATATTTTTTATATTCAAAACACTATTAATAGTAATTATATCTGGCAGTTCATGTCACAGTATTAAGGGTAGTGAGTGTATCATTTTGTTTTCTCTTTTAGTAACATTTATTTTTTTACTTTTATCTTTCCAGATGAGAATATCCGGCAGTTACAGGGTATTCAGGAGACGATACAACGCATGCGCGAGAGCAACTTGTCAGTCAAGGTATGTCGAATAAATGCACATTAGATGACGTAAGGATATGGATATGCTGCTTGAAAAGTAGAGAAAAGGGTGTTTGTTTCCATGGTTGTTGTTACGATTGTTGCTTTTTTTGGCGTTGATAATGACGCTAATAAGAGTGATTGTTGTTGTTATTATTATTATGATTATTATACATACATGTATAGTAATAATGAAAGAAAATATTATTATCATCATTATCATTATACTTTATTGTTATTTTTTATATTATTAAGATTACTGTTATTATCATCATTTTCATCATTAGTTATTAAAAATATCATGAAAATGATGATTGTTTTTTCTTGTTATTGTTAATATTATTAATGTTATTTTATTTTTTTTATTTTTTTTTTATTTTTGTTATTATAATGACTTATTATTACTACTATTGTTACCGTTTGTTCATGTTGTACTTTTTTATTTATTACAAAACTTATAACAAAAAGATAATTTTAATGATAACTGTAAATATTTATAGAGAATAGACTGGACAAAACTTGTGTTGTGTCGTAGACATTTTCTTCACACCGACAGTCCACGTTCAGTATTGTGTCAGGGAATTGGTAAATGAATGAAGAAAAAAATATTTCTATGAATGAGTAGTGATTGAGTAAATAAGTGATGTGTGGGGCTAGCGGTGAATCAGATAGAAACTCGTGATGAGTGAGTCAGAGAGCAATAGAAAGAGTGGGTCAGTGAGTGAACGAAGGAACAAATGGACGAGAGACCACTTCATGCCCGCCTGAGTTTAGACATTTTTGTTTCTTATTTTATTAATCCATATTGTATAGAGACCTGGTTTATATAGACACAGTTTATATAGATACGTTTATGTCTACACATGGACATACACGTACGTACACATACACACACACACACACACGCACACACACACACACACACACACACACACACGCACACACACACACGCACACACACACACACACACACACACACACACACACACACACACACACAGAGAGAGAGAGAGAGAGAGAGAGAGAGAGAGAGAGAGAGAGAGAGAGAGAGAGAGAGAGAGAGAGAGAGGGGGGGGGAAATCTTATTCCAAATATTAACATTTTTCTAAAAAAGTGAAGAATACTGCACTAGTGAGTGAGTGAGAAGAGTTTGCAAATGAACGAATGTGTAAGTGAGTGAAAGGATGATGGAGAGAAGCAAGCGAAGGAACGAATGATTGAGCAAGTAACAGAGTAAACAAAAAATGGTAGGTGAACGAGTGCGTAAGTGATTGCGGATGGATGAGTGAGCAATGGGCAAATATGTGAGTAAGTGACCGAGTGAATGACTGAGTGAGATCCTAGTGATTTTGAGTGACATTTGCCCCCACCTCCCTCACCGCTCTGGTCACGCAGGATTAAGATTCACCGAGGCAGATAAGCAGTCTGTGGGGGGTTGGAGGCAAGGGAACGGGGATGGGGTGGCTGGGGATCAGGGGGTGGGGGCGGAATGTAACAGTCTTGTCAACCCCGAGCTGCTGTTTCACCTGCATCGATTATTGGTCACTCACCTGAACGCCGATCCCGCACACCTCAGCTAAGGACGTCGGTGCCATAGCCCTCGGACGGCGGTGACGACCTTGTTACGCCGACGGAGCTGATAGGGAGGGACGTAAGGGGGGTGGGGGGGTTGTTTGTCCTGATCATGCTACTGTTCCTCGTGTTGCAAGGCTTCGGTTTCCCTTTCAAGTTGACAGCTGTGGCATGCAAAGGAGTTTGGGGGGGGGAGAGGGGAAGGAAAGGCGGAGGAGGGAGGGAGGGGAGAGGGCAGGAGGGAAAGGCAGACGAAGAATGATGGAAAAAAAACAATAGGGGAAGGCGGGAGAGGAAAAAGGGGAAAGGGCAACAGATTCGAGATTGATTGTTGCAACAGAGATTACTGCAAGGGAAGGGAGACCTAGGAGCATCTCTCCCCGCTTATATACTTCGCCTTGTTGTCCACCGGAACGCGAGAGATGCGCTTCAGAGTCTAAATCTGAAATATGGATGTGAAGAGGAATGTAAAAGAGGACGGAATTCAGAGTGATGGAAAGTAGGAGGGGGAGGGGGGGTTCTGACACCGGGAGTCTGTTCTTATCAAAGGGTTTACGACTTTTGACGGCTGGCTTCTTAGCTACCTGGGGCATACATAATATACATTCTTACTTTCATACGATTGTGTGCACCCTCTCCCCTCCACACACACACACACACACACACACACACACACACACACACACACACATACACACACACACACACACACACACACACACACACACACACACACACACACACACACACACACACACACACACGAAAGCACATCTGTCTTTGTTTCTACTTACATTTTTGCAAATTATGGACGCTTTTCCTACATCTTTAATTAGATGTAGAGAGATTTACATGTGGTCTTGTATGATGATGGAAGTATAGATGTGTGTGTGTGCGCTAAAAAAAAGTTAGGGACCTACTGGTTCCCATACACAAACAGGCGTATATACGGAGAAACAAACAAACCAAAAATAAAAAAGAATGTAAAAAAAATAAAACAAAATGAAAACAAAGCCGAGAGAAACGCCAAAAAGGGATGAAATTACCCCTTTTCATTCAATTACGTCCACTCGTACAGCAAACCTACCGTATCCACAAACATAGTATAGTGTCCCATGTTGGGTACTTCGCCGCCGCCGCACAGCGAAACGCGACTTTGTTGATGGTGTTTTTTGTTATTATTATTATTATCGTCATTATTATTATATTATTATTATCATCATCATCATTATAATTGTTGTTATTATTATAATTAATATTATTATTATTATTATTATTATTATTATTATCATCACAGTTGTTATTATTATCATCATAGTTATCATTATTATTAGAATTGCTATTGTTACCACTATTATTTTTCTGTACTAGAATTCTTTAATTTGCGTAATGGTGCTGCGTCTCTCGTGTGCTTCAAACTATAATGCATTTATTTTATCTTAGGCGAGTTGGTTTAGCAATTATACTGTTAGCTAAGCACTTGGCCTCTTCTTCCCCCTCCTCCTCCTCCTCCTCAATCTGCTGCTGCCCCTCTTCCTTTTCCTCTTCCTCTTCCTTTCCACCCTCCATCCTCCTCTTCCTCCTTTCCCTTTTTCCTTCTACGTCTCCTCCTCCTCTTCCCCCTCTTTCCTTCACTCCTCCTCTCCCTCTTCCTTTTTACCCTCCATCCTCCTCCTCCTCATTCGCCTCCTCCTCCTCTTCTTCCTCCTTTTCTTCTCCTTTTCCTCCTTCTTCTCCCCCTCCTCCTCCTCCCCCCTCCCCCTCTTGCTTTACCTCTTCCTTTTTTCCTCTTCCTTTTTACCCCCCTCCTCCTCCTCGTTCCTCCTCCCCCCTCCCCTCCCCTCCTCCTCCTCCTCCTCCTCCTCCTCCTCCTCCTCCTCCTCCTCCTCCTCCTCCTCCTCCTCCTCCTCCCTCGTCCCTCCTCCCTCCTACTCCTCCTCTTTCCCCTCCTTCTCCCCTCCTCCTCTTTCCCCTCCTCCACTTCCTCCTCCTCCTCCTCCTCCTCCTCCTCCTCCTCCTCCTCCTCTTTCCCCTCCTCCACTTCCTCCTCCTCCTCCTATCCATTTTCCGTATCTCCAAGTGGATATGACTGTAATTCGATCTCATGAGCTATTTTAACTCTGATGGATTACTGAAGTCGTCGGAGATTGCGTTAGCAGTTATTGCGTCATCGGTGGTGTGATCAGAGGCGTGAGTAGCATCCTCCTTTAATAAGGTTTACGCCGGAGATTTACCTTGCGTGCGTATTCACACGGCGCCGTTCTCGTGTACAAATCATTTCCGCTTTTCGTGGCTGTTGCGGTATTTCGGGTCCGCGCGTTGTGAAGAGGAAAACCTTTGATTATTTTTTGCTGTAATCGGTTGACTGGTTTATTCACGAGGGAAGCGCGACAGTGGAATTATGTATTTTGAAAGCGTTGTCGTCATTTTACGGAACTTATTATTATGTTGCCATAGCGACATGAGCGTGCTTAATTGCCTGTCACAGTATATGCGTCTGTGTATTTCACGTAGAAAATATATATCGTCCGGGAACATGAACAGAACTGGGGGCGAGAGAGAGAAAGTTCAGGTGTTTCGTTATAGTAGTGTATTAACAGCTCAAAGGGTTTAGTGTTGAACTTTTTTTCTTTTTTTTTTTCATTTGATTGTTATCTTTATTTGGCTTTAAAAAATATCGCCATAAAGAATTCAGACATGGTACATTGAACAAATTGATAGATGTACAAGTTTACGAATGTAAATACACGCATGGAAACGCAGACGTAAACGCGTATGCACACGCACACCCAAAAACGCACGTTAACAAACGAGCATATAAACAGAAGAACATCACAAATAATAAATGCACATGAAAGCACATACAGGCAGCATTCACAGACACACATACACACACATACACACACATACACACACATACACACACATACACACACACACACACACACACACACACACAGACACACACACAGACACACACACACACACACACACACACACACACACACACACACACACACACACACACACACACACACACACACACACACACATACACACGGCAGCATTTCCATTCCACAGTCGTTAGCACTCGATGGTCACGGGATTATGACCCTTACCAGCAGGTCGTACGGCATAACACTTTATTCCCTTCGCATTAGCATCTTTGGTAAATTCGTCAAGCGCCGTAAATGGAGGCCGATTAAAGTCATTCGTATGCTAATTTCTCTTCGAGACGGAAGATCATTCGGGTTTTAATTTCCCTGCATATATTTAGTATCCCCCTTTCCCTCCTCCCTCTCTCCCTCTCCCTCTCCCTCCCTCTCCCTCTCCCTCCCTCTCTCCCTCTCTCCCTCCCTCTATCCCTCTCTCTCCCTCCCTCTTCCAATCTACCTCTCCCTCTCTGCCTTCCTTCTCTTCTCTCTTCCC